TTTTCGCTATATTGGATTTTTCACTCATGAGTAGCCATCTCAACGATCGACTTCAGTTTGTGGGACGGACAGGGGTGCTTCAAGGTTCAATTCTGGGACAGCTTTTATTTTGTATTTATACATACGTATTATATAAACAATTCTAAAAATTACTGCCAGATTCATCTATATGCGAACACACTGTATAATTCTTTTAACACGAATGAAGCCGATTTAGCTCAAAATAATTTAAACGAAGATCTCAGTATTTTAATTATTATAAAACAAATCTAAATCTAAATCGATTTAACTTTCAGGTTTAAGCCTCACGTAACCCAATGTATTCAATGTATATATATGAATATATATGAAATATTCTAAAAAAGAATACTTTTTTTTTGGGTTTAAAACTCAATTTGAAGTCGAGTTAGTATTTGCATAGCATTATTTAAAATATTTTTTTATTTTCCATTTTGCTCAAAAACGGTGACAAAGCAAGCAGGGCAAGCATTTTTCCTCTTGTCAACTTAACTAGAAGGCGCTATTCTTTTATCTATTTTTCTTTCTTTCTTAGCATCCGAGATCCCATTATACAGGGTGATATTTAATAACTACCCAGTGCAATTTCTATAAGATAAAAAGTTACTATGAACGTGTGGTTCAATTGCTTTGTTTTTGAAATACAGGGTGCATATTTGCTCCGAACCAAAATATTTCTAAAACTGTTGCTCTTGGGCCTTATAATAACACGAACTTTGCAACGTCCGAGAGGAGTTCTTTTTTCTCACTAAAAATATAATACAAGGTCTTACAAAAATATCACGAAAATTTGAAAATACTTGTATACTCTATTATGCAAAAATAATATTTTGACGGATCGACGAAAAAACGACCTCAAATTTATTGATCTTTTTTTTACCTTAACATACTTGAGAAATTTAATGTCGATTGCGTCCCATGGCTGCTATTTGGATGGTAGTGGTTGTTGTTGGTAGGAGAATAAATTAAACTTTAAATTTTGGCCAACGTTTCGCTTAACACGTTTAAACTTCATCAACAACAATACGAAAACATAGAAATAAATTACTTCCGTCAATCAAGAGTTGACATGACGTAAAGTGCATATTTGCTGGACGTATTTTGTAAACTCTATAAGATCAATCGTCGTTTCTTCCAAAACAGCAAAACATAAAACAATATGTCGCTATATATGCACGTTACATGTCAACTATAATTTTTTCTGTTCTATTTACTTTTGTTACCGCGATTTTTGATTTTTGGTCTCTGGCCTTTGTTTTTATTTTTAACTTCTTAATTTTCAATTTTAAATCAAAACCAACCACATTTTTTGCTTATAGGTTTTGTTAAAGTTTAAGCGAAATGTTGGTCAAAAATTGGATATTTAATTTATTGTCTTATAACCGGTTTGTGACAAACCTACGAAAGATTGGACACTTATACATCACCAAAAAACACACACTGTATGTGTGGGTGATGGGTAATTTTAAAGATTGAATTGAAATACGAAAAAGTCTTGAAATCTGTGTTGGTTGATTATTTTAGGTTTTGGCCAACGAATTATTGATTGGCTTCACTGTGCGCAACAGCGCTGAACAGAAGGTCTTCCGCGTTGCGTAAAGAAGCATTTGCATGCGAACGGCCCCCAGGGTCGCTACCGTAAGACCACACCCCCCTGCTCTTTCGACGATATTGCGATATTGTAGAGATAAATATATCTCGTGCTCGCGCTTGGTAAAAAAAGAAGAGGGGTCGCGAAGAGAAGAAAAGATGTTCGAAGCGAAAGAGAGAGAGAGAGGGAGGGAGAGTTTGCCGGGATCTAAAACTGTGATCGACCGTTGGGTCCCGGTAATGATAGGCCGTTTATTAACGTTATTACCCGATCTCCGACCCAGGGGCGTTTATGCGCGCCGCTGCGTTTATTTAAAGTGTTCGGCGTCCGCCGCCGCCCCGTGCTGAGCCGTCGCGGGTGTTTTTAATTATTATTACCTTCACCTTTGTGTGTGTACGCTGCGACTCAAAAGTTTGCATTTTTAAAATTGTCCATTTTTTAATCAAGTTGAAATTCGGTAATTTTCTAATGGTACATTAACCTTTTTTATTTAAGTTTTTAATTTTAGTTAAGCATATTGTCTTAGAATCAGGTAAAACTGTGTCTTTAAAATTGGTTCCAAAATAAAGTTTCCTCAAAATGGGCATTTTTTTATCTTTGTTTAGATAAGTAGCCCCTTAATTCAACAAGAATTTGTCTCAAAAATTGAACATTGAACGTTCTTCGATATATACGTGTTAGACATAAGCAAATAGTATTTAAATTGGTTTGTACGCCGCTGGATCTGTTTTTTTCTGTCATTAGAGACCAAACGATTCTGCCCAGAGTGAAACTAAAAAATTAAATTTAGCTAGCGTTTTAGTAACATTTTGTGCTGGACAGGCAAGTTTTAATAACTTAGATTAGACGAGGCCAACTTTGTTAAACACCAAATTGCCATTATACCCCTACCAGCAGCAGAGGACAAGTGGACATTCTTGTATATTGGAAGAATTCTTCGTTTTCTATGTAAATGTTGAATTTCTCCAAATTTGATTATCCATCATTAGTTATAAATCTGATATGGACAAAGCAGGTATAACTGAACTCTTTATTTAATTGTCTGTATAGTGAACTTAACGCGAGAACCCAAGACCACACTTTAAAATTTTTTGAAAGTCAAATAAAGCCTCTCCTTGTCATAAATGCTTTTTTAAAATATTAAAAAAGTTTTAGCTTGCCTTAGTCTCATTTAGTCAACTTTTAAGTTAATTTTTATTTATTAAATCATTTATCTCTTGTAACTACCTTTCTATTTATTCATGTTTTATTAATTGCGATGTTTTATAGACTTGTATTTGTGTATATCAATTCCTACAATGCAACGTGTAAAAGACCTTTATCTACTCCCGTCTGTAAAATACCTAAGTACACACCGATCTAGCGTGCGGGAAGCGTCACCAGGTCAGTTTCGTTTGCCACGGAACCGAGCCACTTCGGACATTTCGTTTATTAAACACTCGCTCCGGTCGCGTCAAATAAACTCGTGAGTTAAATGCCGTTTACCGCACTTGTTGCATAATAAACTATGTACAAACAAATACTCCATTAAATAATATTCTAATATCTTGTTATATTGTTTTGTTCTATTCTATATCAACTTTACTTTTGAAACTTTTACCGAAAATATGCTGTTTCTCGTAAAAAAGTATTTATAATTAGACCATTGAGAAAATTTGCGTCAAAAGTTTGACGCAGCCGTTACGTCCCTGCACGTAGCAAATGCTTACATTATGTCACATTAACTAGACATCAAGCATCGCGCGTTCCGGCAAAAACTGTCCGGCACGATGGCAAAATATACTTCTATTTAATTACGGAATAATTTCATACACTATTTGATAATAAATCAATCCGCGGAGACCACCTCTAGCGACAACCCGACCTACTCCACAGAGATACGAATTAAAGCCTGCAACGCGTCGCTACTTATATACGCCGATAAAAACCCGTTTTGATTCCGGAACGATGTTGCGGCACATCAAAAAATATCTAAAAGTTGAAAATTTACAATATATTTCCAAAAGGTTGATTATTATACATTATACATACATTATTGTACAAATAATAAGCAGTTTCTTCATTTAAAAATTCGACATGTGGCGAAACTTTTAACTATAGAGGTAAATACTTCAATGATCAAACGAACTTACCTGGTAAGTGAAGTTCGATCGTAATTATATGTTACACCTCTTCGTAGAAATCAATATACGTAGTCCCCCTTCTAGTCGCTAGGTGGCACCACAGCTTTAAAGCAGAGCCAAAAAACTGTGGAATAACTTACCATGGACGGTATATTCGCCATCTATGGTCTTAACCTCATTCTATTTTAAAGCCCGTTTATAATAAATTTGCCAAAGGGCATTTTAGTACTGTTCAGAACAGTAAATTGGGCGGGAATGGGTGATTTCTACGAAGAGGTGTAACATATAATTACGATCGAACTTCACTTACCAGGTAAGTTCGTTTGATCATTGAATTATATGTTACACCTCTTCTATGAAATCAATATACGTAGACTTTCAAAGGCAACTCAGCAAATTTGTTATAAAACGATTTTATTCGGCTATATAAGGAAATCCAGGAAGTTTATGAAAGCCTCGAGTACAAATACAAAATAAATGGCTATCCGAGAAAACAAACCTTCTGAAAAATTCTATGTCCCAAATGTGGCATTAACAAAAAGGACTGCACTTGCTGTACAAATATATTATAAAAAAGGGGAAAACATTTAGAGCATTCTCACCAATCTGCCGTTTTTCCAATCATATCAATTGAAACACCTTTACAAAACGCAGACGATGTTGAGGCATGTCGAGTTCTGTGAACAGTAAAAATAAAAGTGTAGACAACACTATCTTCTAAAGTTATCTTTATTCATCTACTTTTGTTGGGTATAGTTGCTGCCCTACAAGGCTTTTTAAATGTAATGAGTAAACGAGATTCACTGCCTCTTAAAGCACTGGCCCTCTCAATAATATATTTGAAACCACACAAAGATTTACATCTTCATATTTATGCAAAATTAAAAAACAGGTCGAGTCTTATTTATAGCTGAAATCTTAATTTGATTCGTTATTCTAATTTCTAATCCATCTGGAAATGATTTTATGTTGACCAATTCTATAAGAGAGAGCGTTTGGACTCTATGTACAATCGTTAACTTCAGTAGGAAAAACTAATTTAATTGTTTTAATGACAGTTAATTGCTTTAATGACAAGTCATTAGAACGTAACCCTTTTACAAAGTCAGGGACATAACTAGGGCCCCAAGTGCTGTTATATCTTGGTTTACTTGGCCTTAGATTATCAACACCTTAAAAAACCTAGTTAGATTTGCATTGTTAAATAAATCTGATCCAAAAATAAGGCTGTGCTGCACTGAAAGAACTCAATGAGCCATAGGACTTGCCTTGTCTAAAATGAATAGTAAGGAAATCTAATACAGCCTAGGTGAGAAGTAATAACACTCCACTCCCCTCCTTTCGTAGAAGCTCCACCAAAGTTTAAATGCATGCAGGTATTAAATGCCTCAAGGTAGCCCTCTGAACAGATGATAGAAAAATATCCAGCAAATCTTCTGGAATGCTTGCCTGACAAAATCCCTGCAGCCAGGGTAAGGGATTTCCACAAAGGGTGACCTCTCCTGGCAAAAGAAGAAGGTAATTTGTCTGGAATTAGAAACAATAAAAAACTACAACGCCTCCCATGAAAAAAAAAAAAAGGAAACCAATGCTGGCTGTGCCCGTAAGGGATTACTGCGATCCCTGTAGCTCAATCAGCCTTGATTTTTCGTAAAACAAGTGGCAACAAGCAAAACGGGGGGAAAACATAGAAGAAACTGTCGCTCCAAAAAACAGTAAACGCGTCTTCATTAGATGCCTCCGGATCTGGAAATTAGGAAATAAACTTTCCGCATTTCTTACTTAGGCGAGAAGCAAACAGTTCGATTTATGGGAATCCAAATTTGATTGTTATTTTAGCAAAAGCATTGTCCGAAAGGTACCATTCACCATCAAAATTCAAATTCGTGGGTTCCTTATGCGCTTCAAAATTATCGGAAGATCGAATGTAAGACGCTTTAACCCATAACCTCCTTTCTTCACACCAACCCCAAGGCGCCTCGAAATTTCGTTTAAAACAGGAAATATTACTCACCCTATTCTATTTACATACAAAATAGCAGTTGTGTTATCAATCCTCAAAAGTGTCTCGCAGTTAGTCAAATACGAGGCGAAGCATTAGAGACCAAATGAGGCCGCAGTTAATTCTAGTGCATTAATATGAAACTGAGCTTCCCTAGGACTCCAAAGTCCTCTGGCACAATTCCCCAACCCAAAGGAGTACCATCTGAGAAAATCTCAAGTTTTTAACATTGCTGCCTTACAGGGCATTCAAGATTCTGTAAACTTTTTAGCCACCACATAAAATCCCTCCGTAAATTACAAGGAATTATCATCCAAATAACATAATTATCAACAGAGTCTTGAAGGGCTAGATATTTGATTCTCTCAAAAATTCTTAGTATATACCCAACTGTAACAAACTGCTGGGCAAACTGAAAACTAGCACAGCACAAAGCTCGGCAAAGACTCTTATTTCGCAACGGTTCAAATTGCAAAACTTACTTACTCATCAGAAAAAACAAGTGGTGGGATCCAAAAAAAACAAAACCTAAAAATTTACGGGATTTCGAAGGATGTAAAACATTCTTATAATTAATAACATAACCCAACCTAATCAGTGTGTTGCAAGTTACTTGAACATTTTTTAAGGATAGCTAACTATCACCAAATAGTAAAGTTATCTAAATAAACTATTGAGGGAAAAGCCTTGGCAGGGAGATAAGAAACCACAAATTTCATTAATTCTGTAAAGGCCCACGGGGCGGTGCATAAACCAAAGGGTAACACGTTAAACTGATAACAGAGAGCATCAAAATAAAATCTTAAAAAATTCTTTTGATTTTCAATTATTGGGACTAGAAAGTAAGCTTCTTTCAAGTCCAGAGTGGTCATAAAGGACTTCCTTGTGAAGAGTGTTTCTACTAATTTTCTGTCTTCCAGTTTCAAATGACAAGTGTCAATAAAAGCATTCAGTTTCTTTAAATTTAAAACTAATCAAACCGAACCATCCAATTTTGAAACCAAAAAGATCTGTAAAATAAATTGATTCTTACAAGGTTCGCAAACTGCAATTGCACCTATCTCTAACAGGTGTTTGACCACATTACAAATTGAATCTTTTTCTTGTTGGGACCAAACAGGATCTGTCGTAATCAAGTCCTGTATAACTGGCCTCGCAAATGGAATTTTATATCCATCTAACCAAGGTAGAATCTGTGCATCTTGAGTTCTAGAGTTCCAAATGTCCCGAAACTCGTGTAATCTTTCAACAAAAGTACTTACTATTTTTTCCTGGGGACACAACTCCACCCCCTTTCCTCTCGAACCTTCCTGTATTCCCTCTTTTGAGGGTACAATGACTTTCACCCACTTCAGCCTTGCAACTTCCGGGAACGAAGTGGGACGGTCGAGTTTAAATTTGTATGCTATAAAAGCCTTGTTCCGGATGCACCTGACTTTAACTCGGCCACTAATCTGCAGCTAATCTGATTGATTTGAGCCTATCAGCCAAATCTTCTCCACATAAACAAGAGTGCAAACAAGCATCAACGAGCACTTCCTTCATACAAGGCTGCATTTCATTTGAGACCAGCGAAAGGCTTAACGCGGCTGAACTTCCATATACTGAACCTAAATGGTGTATTTTGCTTAAAACCAATATTGCATTACTCAGCATTTTGATGAGAAGTAAGTACTACTCATCCTTAACCGGTTTCAAAAGCAAGGTCAAGAGCGCCCTACCAAACACCATCAAAGCACCCCTTGTTGCAGTCAGTCTCTCATCCCTTTTCTTTCCACCTTTGTTGATGGCAGATTTCATCTGCACATTCAATTTAGGAGAGTTATTGAGCGGGCAATTCTTCGGCACAGGATATCAACGCAAAAGGTCACTGAGACAATCTTCGGACACACCGGATTTCAAAAAAGGTATTAATCTGACTTGCCAAAATGTCATGACACATCCAACTTTGTGTTGGGACTATCGACCCCATAGCTTAAAGGCTATTTTGCTTTAAATCCGTCTCAAGGGGCTCAACAATATCAGAATTAATTGAATGGCCTAAAAAATATACTTACGATGGAGTAAATGCATTCCAACAGCCATAAAAAATTGTTCATTATGTCCCAGTATCCCGGGCGCCTCATCCATAGCCGGACGAGCCAGAAAACTCTATTTTTTCGATGTCGAAAAAATATAAAACCATATGTATGGCCGACCCCCTCACAAAAGGATTGCTTCCAATTGTGAAACACTTACATACGACTGCTGTCGTATAAGTGGGAAAGATGGGGGGTCTTTCGAGTTCTGGGGATTCCGATCGGAACCCGGACGATGAAGAAATCTTCTCCCAATTGTAAGAAAATCTCGTTGATGGGAACCACGCCACTAGCGATTATGTAATCGCGGATGGAAAGATTTAATCTTTCGTCGTAGGTAGGTTCTTTCTTCATCCGATAAGGAATAACGTAAATCTCACTTGTACTTCTCCATTTAACTTCCAAAAACGCTGAAAAAAGCTGAAAACACCGACGCCGAATAAAAATGAACATGTGCCACCAAAGCACAAAAAGAGGAATGAGGTTAAGACCATAGATGGCGAATATACCGTCCATGGTAAGTTATTCCACAGTTTTTTGGCTCTGCTTTAAAGCTGTGGTGCCACCTAGCGACTAGAAGGGGGACTACGTATATTGATTTCATAGAAGAGGTGTAACATATAATGTTGTTTTAAATACATATATTTAAAACAACAACATACTACTAACACATATACATAACTACATATAAAGTAGTTGAAACAATGCGAATAAAACTTTTTTCTACTCCCGTCTGTAAAATATCTAATTACACTCGGATCTAGCGTGCGGGAAGCGTCACTTTACCACGTCAGTTTCGTTTCCCACGAATCCGAGCCACTTCGGACATTTCCGGGATTCTACCGCACGGGTTTGGGAGCAATCGGATATTTTCGGAGATAATTCCCACTCTTTGAATTTTGACGTTTATCAATTCTGACTGTCATATTAGTGAACGTATTTCTGTTGTTTTGCGAAAATAAACTTTTTAGGTCATTCGTTTATTAAACACTCGCCCCGCTTCGCTCGTGAGTCAAATGCCGTTTACCGCACTTGTTCCATAATATACTATTTCTACTCACACTGGTTTGGGAGTGTTCTGATGTTTTTGGTAAATTTTAGCTACAAATTTTGACATTTGTCAGTTGTGATGGTCACGTCACGTGTCACTCAGTTAATGTTCAAAATAAATGGCGGCACTACTGTGCGAGACATTAAAATTTTGTCAGCACTAAAAAAGAATTTTTTGCTATTTCTTTTACAAAGTTTTTGAAGAGGTACACATACTTATTATTGTATTTATTAATAAAACTAACATTATTTTTTAATTTTCTATTAACCCTAGCTATTATCCCAGCAGATACACAAAATAATGCGAAACAAACAAGATTGAAATATGTTTATTAAACACTATTTTTGTTTAATAAAAAAACTTATCTTGCCTAATCATTGATAATTAGGGAAATAAGCTTATGATTTATCAGCACATGTAAATCCTTTTGTTTGTTTTTCGCTTGATCTTCGAGTTTGTTAGCAGTCAACACAGAAGCATCACAGTTTATCGGTGCGTACATACACCGAAATCGTTATCAGTGTCCTGAAACTTTTTTTTTTCAAATTTTTCTTGAACCGGCCACCATTCTAAATATCGTATAGAAAAACGTTCGTGTTATTAACTACCAGATGAATATCGCTGATTTGACCTACAAATTTACATTGAACAGTGTTTTTCAATTAATAGTTTTCGCGACGTTTTCAGATGGTGCTTATTATCGGTTATTTTCTGGCGATTAAAACGAAACGAAAGTTAACATTGCGACTGCATCGACATGCAGCGATTTTCTGCACTGCGGATGTAAAAATGTGGTAGCAATAACATGACCAACGGGTCATATGAACGAATCGTTAACGATCGCCCGCTGCCTGGTCCGTAGATCGGACGAGTATTGTTCCTGTCCGATTAGCAGCTGCTGGATCTCTTCCAGCGTCTTGCCCTTCGTCTCCGGCATGTACCTGACGATAAACACCAAACCCGCGATACTGCACAAACCGAAGCAGAAAAACGGGACGGCCATAGTGCCGGTCTCGTCGACAGAAATCTGGAAAAACTTGGACACTATTGCTCCGGTCAGCACCGAGAAGGTATCAGCTATGCAAAGCGCTTTCGCCTTGACGCTAGTCGGGAACAGTTCGCTCAGCACCGTTACCATGCCGAACGATAGTCCCATGCTGAACATGACGTTGTACGAAACCAACGCTGTGATGGGCACCCAGAACAAAAAGTCTGTGTCAAAGGCTTGGGCGTAATCTTTGAGGAAAAAGTAGACCGATAGTGCTAGGACGGAGACCGCACAGCCAGCAGTCGAAACTATCAGGAACAGCCTTTTACCGAACCTGTCAACGACGAAGAACGTCGTCACAGTGACGGCTAGAAGCTCGACACCGCAGTAAACGATCACGGATAGTGTAGCGTCGATCGTACTGCCCGCCTCCTTGAAGATGGTCTCCGTGTAAAACATGCACGGGTTCTTGCCACTAAACTTGTTCGTCCAGCACACGATGACGAAAATGAAACACGCTTTTCTGTTGCTCGACACGGTGAACAGGTCTAGGAAACCGGTCTTGCAGCGTTCCTGTCTGACCACCGCCTTGGACAGTGCTTCCATTTCGTCGTCGACGTCGTTCCTACCTCTGAGTGCCTGCAGGCTCCTCTTTGCCGCGTCGTAGTTTCCCTGTTTGATATGGTAGTACGGCGATTCGGGTACCAGGACGAAAGCGGCGGCGTGGATGATCGGGATCAGGGCGCAGACAAGACTAGAGACGAAGATATCCGTGAAGGAGCCCAAGACGTTTATGAAGAGGGTGCCGGTGATGGCGGCGATCGCGATGGTCGCCGTTAGGAAACCCCTTATCTTGGGATCGGATATTTCGCCGACGTACATCGGCAGTACCGTGTAGAGGGCGCCCTCTGCCGAACCGATAACGAACCTGAGGATGGTTATTTCCCAGATGGAAGAGGAGAACGCGATGCCGACGAAACAGGCGGATACCAGAGGCGCCATCAGCAGCGTGGTCATCTTCCTACCGATTTTATCGACCACGATGGCGGCCAGGACGGCCCCGGGAGGGGCGCCGAGCAATGGGGCGATCGCGCACCATGAGCCTTGGTCCGTCGTAGTCGGGATGGTCGACGAGTTCGCCTGGAGTTTTGGCAGAAACGGAGACGTCCATCCCAGATTGATACCGGAACTTATTACCGAAAAGGCACCTAAAACACATCCTCCACATCCCCTTACGGCCTCGAATCACCCGAAGCGACGTACCTGCGATGGTAGCGAAATATTGGAAAAAATACTCGTTGCGCACGAAACCTAAGAATATCTTCATGTCGACGTCAGGCGCATATTTTGCGCGGGAGCGCAACGGCTATTGGCTTTTTATCTCATTGGTAGTTGTTTGATTTCGCGTTTACGGAGATTATTAGAAGCACGATTGTGTTTCGAGACAAAGAGAAATTTTCCAAAAACGAAACAGTCAGGAATGTACTCGCCGAAAAAATCACGATGCGACCGATCCAGTTCAAAAATCAAATTTTTGATGAAACTGAAATGAGAATCCTGCGAAAATCGAAATATCATGATCCAAAACAATTCTAAAAATAGAAAGTATAAGCGGTTATCCAAAAAGTGCAAATGAGAATCTCTGTAAACTACCCAAAACGAAGATTTTATTTTTTGTCACAGAAAAGTTTTTTAACGGAATATGATCCCATCGTTGAGCACCTTTCTCCTAATTGGAGCTAACCTGTATCTTTTACCGTTGATAAGATGTTAATGTTCGAGGTTGAATCTGAAACACTGCATATAAACTAATAATCCTTTTATTATATATCCTAGATGCCTTAACTTTTAAGATACGGTAGTAATGTTTTCAGCGAAAAAGCTTTTTTGTATTATCTAAGCATCGCTGGATAATTTTATAATAATATGGTTAATATTATTCAAATGATCTTTTTTTTTTTCATTAGTTAATGCCTCGAAATGTAGCACTTTAATTTCATCATATACAAAATTTTCCTTCAAAAATATGTGATACAAATCTCGAACGGAAGCAACTTTTGCAAATAAAAAGTGCTGTGCACCTGAAAGTGCTTCTTGATGCGTTTATCAAATTTCGCAGATATATCAGAATAATATAATAAAAAATGGTTGTCCTGAGAATTTTACCACCCTGTATCTAAAAACTAAAGCCTCTTAATAAATTATCAGTATAAGAAATACCCAGTACAGTAAGAAAAACTAAAAAATATAAATTATCCCCACAACTTCTGTAGTGTTCACACTCTACAGTACCAAACTTTCAAATTTACCTAAGGCCGTCGCTGGGATCTCAAGACCCACTCAAAAATCGCCAATAAAAAAAAAAAAGATGGCAAAACAATGGGTCTTATTTTCTAGCCGTATATATTTGCCCAAGCTATAAATATCGTCGGGATGTTTGCTCGCACTCCCGCGATGAACGCTGTATCTGATAATTTGATGACGTCCGCGACGGTCTAGTCCGCACCTGCTCCATTGCCGGTACCAATTTTCCAACCGTTCGATTTGTATTCAACAAACGATCTAGCCGCTGGATTACTGAATGATGTAAAGCACTCCCGGGTAATTAGTTGCATTCCGATTTTTTTTCGTCGTACGTACGTCGTCGCTTAATTAATATCGCTGTGGTTTTAATTAGGGGGTCGGCTTTTTAATGTATTCCGAGATAAATAAGAAACTCGTACGTCGTTGTCGCGCCTCCAAAAAGCGACATTATTTCCGCGCTAGATAAAGTCCGCGGCGGCTTGTCCTTTTATCACATCCAATACAGAGCTCGAAACATTTCAAGCTGAAATACATACGAAACAAAATACGAAGAAAGGGAGATTTTATATTACGACATACGGACCTGCATTAACCGATCTTTTCAACCAAAATAGAGGATGTAACTTTTCAAAGGTGAACAAATTAATCTTCATTTGAATTATAAAGTACGGCCAATAGTTTGCTTCAAAATACAAATAAATACAAAATTGTTAAGTTGTTTAGTATTAGGCTAAACCGACGGCTGCACTACCAGTTGCATACAGTTTTTATACTACCCAAGCACTAAAGTATTCAGTTAGGAGTTATATGTTTGTTGTAATTTTAAACTATTTTAGTTAATGTTACAAATGGTACATTGTGTTCAGTGGAAAGCGGATTTTCCCATCTTGATTAGATTTTTTGACATCGGGTATATGCTAAGAAAGCTATCGAAGTATGAATAAAAAAATAGTAATGCCGGGCACAAAATAACAATTACGAATGCGGGGACGTTTTCCAAAATGTCGGGAATTTCTCGTCATTTTCACGGGATGGTGGAAAACGGTTACGATTGCGGAGCGCGCGTAATTGTCGTCCGTCCTGCAAAAAGTTGCCGCGGACGACATGTTTGATTTCTTTCAACCGTTTCCTGGTAATTGTACGATCGAGTGTGTGAAATGGTATCCGATGACTTAATCGCCATTTTCTGAGAACCAGCGACGGTCTTTTACTTACCGACCATAATGTTAGATGCAACAGTACGGTAGGCAACACACTGGACATCATTTACGACGCTGGGTTTGGTTTATAAAGGCGTCTGATAATTCTTTTTCTTGAGGAACGGGTTTTTCAAAGTTAAAAAAGGTATATTTCCAGATTATCTTTTATGGCAATTATAAAAAATATTAAATCGCCACAAAATGGCTTAAAACGCCAAGTTCGTAGGCTTAGGAGAAGTACTGGGATTTTATTTTAAACTAATTTTTTAGTCCACACATGGCAGAGAATATATAGAATATTTTGTTGCTTACTTATATCAGCTGAAATGAAATGAATTAAAAGGTTTACTGTGGTAACTGTTCTTTTATTTTGTTTCGAACTATGCTGTTAATACCAGAATCATCCGCTGCACCGCGGCGATCGCGATAGGAATGGTTTCTCATTTCCCGCGATTCGCCATCACTCGCGCAGTCATGTCAATTTGCGTTTCGAAAAACTAAGAAAATTTGCATTGAATCGTCTGCGCGATTCTATCTGCTTATTGAAGGAGGAGGGAGGCGGAGGCGGCTAAAAAAATGTTTGGAACCTTTCGGCTTATATACTCGACCGGAGAAGAGAAGCGACATCGTAAATGCCTATTCAGCGAAGGGATGGTGTTTTTGGTCGAGCCCTGCGGCACCTGCGGCTTACGTCGCGGCTGATAAGGCATCAAGGTTATTTAGGGATGATGCTTTAACTAATTTTAGCGCAAAAGTTTTTATTGTTTTTTCGTAAATCATATGCAAGATAATGAACTGCGGTAAAAGTGTTTAAAATAAATCACAAAATTGTAATTGAAATTGTAAGGATTATATAAAAATCAATTTAAAAATGTATGTTTTAAATTAGCAAATAATAGAGAAATGGACGTTTGGTTGGCCGAGAGGTAATTTTATCCTAAAGGCGATGCCGCCTAAAAAATCTGATCTTTCTATATCCAAATTTTATTTAGTTTTTATACTCGTTCATAGCTCTCGCGGAATTTATTTGGTAGTAATTTGGAGGTGCTATTATCTTTATTGCTATAATTCTTATAATGGTTACATATGTTATTTAAATGACTGTAATTATAATCCAAAAATAGCGTACTAAGAATGACTGTCCATAATCACCACCACCACCACTGAGTCTACCTAATTTGAGGCATAAATAACGGAGAATTATTTGACAAAGTGACCAATTGCTTTTGAATGGGATTATCCAAGGGTGGTCATTAACATACAACGCAACAAGATTATTACCTAAAGTTTCGGAATTTAAATTCAGGTAAAATAATTTTATACCTACCTGAGTTTAATATTCTTTGATTTGGTATACTACTTAGTTTAAGTTTATTAGTAATCATTCTTATTTCGTGCGTAATACAGCATGTGTTGAATCGTGTGCGCATTATGCATAAATAACAAAACTCCAAATAATGAAATTCTAAGCAAAGTACGGACCTGTTCGGGCATATTTCATTCTTACAGCTTGCCCGTATCTTTCCTTAATTCGTATCAGTTAGTCACTTTCTTATATCTATGAACAGACCATACCTATCAAATTATTATAGAGACAGGTACAGCGCACTCTTTACGTGGATCTGCATCGAAATTCAATTTGAATTTCGCGCCAAAAAGACACCCTCATTCCACGAAATAGCTCTTCAAGTTAAGTTACGTACATAACTATCGCCCGTGTAGTAATAGATAACGGAGCGCGCGTTTATTTTTTACGGAAAATATGTAACAATTTTCCGCCCGGCTACGTCATTACCGTGTGTTCCTATTCGGGCTTCCTATAACGCCCACCGTCACGCACGGCCTTTGTTTTTAATTTATCTATTATTAAATGAATATATCGTTACATAGAGAGGCGTCGACAATAATTCTCCCGGTGCATATTTAAAGCCGCTCCGGGAAAAGACGAACTTACGGTATATGTTCACCCAGTCCGCGGCGTGAGGCCTAGATTTCGCGTATACGCGATGCCTTTTGTTAGAACGCACGTTTTGTACATCGAAAAGGCATGGCCGAAAAAGAGACAGATAGCGATTGGCGTTCGTATAGAATGAATGTTACCAAAATAGAATAAAACAAAATACTGTGATTTTAAGTTACTCTCTCCATGCAAGCGTTTTTGCTGCTTCCTCAGTCCATGTTAAAAGTGCGTGCGAAAGCGCGTGCGCCGCTGACTTTTCTAACGTCTCTGAGCAACAGGTCGGGAAGCGTGTGTGTGTGTGACCGTCACCAATCATACACACGTGTATACACGGAAAACGACTACGACGGGTTTGTTGACCGTCTAGATGGCGCTAAGGCGTGGGTTCCAAGTGATAGCCGCTGACCGCCATGTCCACTTATCTAACGGTACCGCTTTGCGCGTCCTCAGGACCCGCGTATCCCGGTGTCTCGCAAAAACCCCGGGGCAAGAGCGGTATGAACGAACGCTTTTATCCCCATTCCGTAATAAATACCGAGAGCTATGCGAAAGAGCATTCCAAATTTAATAATTTTAAAATCATTTAACGTATTCGTGGGACAGCCCCGTATAAATCGTCGTATTATCCGTCGCGTGAACTATTAATCAATCGGAATATTTTAATAAAAATCGAAACAATTCAATAGAAAGGAATGTGGGCGTGCATGCTGATAAATCCGTTTCGCCGCGAGTCCATGGCCGCCGCACTGGGCTCGCCGATGGGTTTCAGAAAAATGCTATACCAAAATCTACACCATCCATGTTTTGAAATTTAAAATCGGTCTTCGTTATTGCGGAAGAGAGAACGATAGAGAGAAGAAGTGTGTATATGTGTAAGAAAATTTAACGATTTTTTTGTTATAATTAATAGGTTATACGATTTTTTAAGTGAAGTTCAAACTCAAATATGTAAGGCGTTTTTTTATATAGATCAAGATATCACATCTCACCACACATCATATTTGGGGAAACTTATTGATACCAGAAACAAAACATAGAGGAAATTTATCTTCCGTAAGATGAAAATTTGAGGAGGGCCGGTCTGATCCCTACGAAAAGGAGTTTCATTTAATTAAAATGGAACTTTACTTATATGTTTTTTATTCTATATACTAATGTAATATTATGCAGTTGTTTAACGCAACCGGTCCGCAAATTTGTCTTGCTTCAGTTATATACGAAACAGACAACAAAAAGAAAAATTGTTTTATTTTCAAATCTGTTCTTCGCATATCAAACACAACATTTATTATCTAGTAATTTATTTATTAATTTATTTATTAATTAATTATCAGTATCAGCATTCTCGAGAGCAAGACATCATTTTTTAATATCTTCGGTTCTTTTCATTAAAGTATCAGTCACGCAAAGAACAGGTTTCTGTTTGAAGAATGATACATATAGTAAAGGCTTATTTTCTGTTACTTTATGTTCCATATTATCCAAAACTTTTCTAATAGTATCCATTTTTAGTAAGGGCAAGAGTTTGGAACCTATGTACTGTGACCAAAGCCTTTAATTTAACTAAATTAGTACTTCAGTGTATAGGTCTTCGTTTTTGGGCTGCTTTTCTTAATGACTAACTACTCACGGTCTCATGTCTGCCAATACCTGAGTTTACTTAACAGTAGCTTTAAAGAATCTATTTAATATAGTCTCCCTCGTAAATCCTTCTCTTGTTATCAGGAAGATGAATGAGTTTGTGTTTTGAGGATACCGAAAATTTTCTATTATTCTAAGATCGTGAACTTTTGGTTAGTTTTGGTACGAAACTTAACTGCCGTGTCGGTAAACCGTCGCGCTCGCGCGCCGCTGCGGCCAATCGTTTCAAGTGATTGAGCGTTCGTTTCTTGTCTCGTCAAGAACACGAATTTAACCTTAAAAATTTTTGTCGAGAGTTATTATTCGACTGACCCATTTCCGAGCTTTGCCAGTTTTTCCGCGTTGCACGGCTTCGTGACTTATGGAAACGCGGTTTGGTGGGGGCTGAGATGGCGTTTTAATTTCGAGATAACTCGTCAAAAATTTGAATGCGCTTTTGGCTGGTCCCGGCCGTTTTTGTATGTAAATGCCTGCCGCATTAGCATGGGTCCCGTCGCGATGGTGGTAATATTGCGTCGCCCGGAGGAGGTTTACATGTTTGGTGAATACAATATACCGCGCGTTATTGTTTGTTTTCGCGATTTCTTGGTGCCACGCGACGTTAGACCATTAGGTCGGCACGTTTTCACTGGACGATCTTTATTGTATGGACGGCGGAGAGCAACGTTGCCGCTGTTAACCGAGACCGATAGGGCAACAAAAAATTAAGTATTGTAAAACCTCAGTACCATGGCGTATACCATATGTATTCAATATATAACGTCATGCAAATATCTTGGCGTTCCGAGACAATACACATACACAGACTAATATTTTTATGTATTCAAAAGCATAGTTAAAATAAATGAGTTAACGAAATGTCTTGCTAATATTTTTTTAAACATTTCCCATAATATTATTTTTCTGCTTCCATTCGTAAAATGGCTAATTACACACAGACCTAACGTGCGGAAAGTGCCACTTTACCACTTCAGTTTCGTTTCCCACGGATCCGAGACATTTCGGACATTTCGGATGTTTTAGGAGATATTTCCCACGCCCTGAATTGTGACATTTGTCAATTCTGACAGTCATTCCAGTGAATGCATTCGTGTTGTTCTGCGAAAACTAGCGGTCGTAGAAAAAGTACAGTATGCAACACGTTGGGTAAACTTTTTAACTCACTCGTTTATTAAAAACTCGCTCCGCTGGTGTCAAATAAACTCGTGAGTCAAATGCCGTTTACCGCACTTGTTGCATAATATAGTAGTTTTGAATTTCAAAGTGTAATTTGATGTGTATGTAAACAAATCGAAGATTGTTTTACAGGCGGGTGCACTTATTTTTTTGTTTTGTGGGCATGTGGTTTACATTCTCTCTAAATGTGTGTCAATTTTTGTTTACTTAACTGTTTACAAAGAATAAAAAATATTTTAATATTGTTATATTATAATTTATTTGTAACGTGGTTACCATAGCAATCATTCAAATATTCACTTAATCCTAAATGCCTGTATTTGCATCATAACAACAGCAATTTGATGAAAAAACATCGTAACGTGTCTGCTACAAACTTGCAAGACAATTGGCATAAAGAAGTAGCTGCTATTTTCACACAAAAAATAATTTAGAATTTGTAGATTTAACCTCCATGAAAAATTTAAATAAAGATGATGACTGAAAGTGTAGATATAAACATAATTTGGATAAGTACTCTTATATAAAAAAAAACATTTGGTTCCACTTTTCAAAACTTTGGGATAGTGGAAAACCCTAAGTAAAAAATGTTCAAGAAACTATTGAACCTTGCTATGAAAAAAAATTCTACAGATCCGGTTTTTAACTTGTTGTATAGATAATGTCAACAAGGTAATCAATAATATTTCAGTAATTACAAAAATTATTAAGTGGTTTATTAGAAAATTATTCTGTAAGTAAGGTAGTCGTATGATTTGCATCACAGTATTTCGTGCTTGCCGTAGATAAAGATATTATTAGCTATTTAAAATACCCATGGCAATTTTGTTTAAAAAACTGTATATTTCAATTTAATCTAAATTGGTCCTAAATGTAAGAGAATTGTCCAAAAATTGATTTTAGATACCGTAAAAGTTAATCTATTTAATATAAGATTTTTCTGTTTAATAAACTACCCACATATAAACCGACCCAACGTGAAGAAAGTGTTGTTTTACTACGTCAGTTTCGTCTCCTACGCGTTTTTGGAAGCAATCGGAGGTTTTCGGAAATATTACCCACGGCTGTCAATTCTGACGGTCATGTCACTGAATGTAGTCGTGTTATTTTTCAAAATTGTCGTGAAAAAAGTATTCAATACCTTTGACAAACTTTTAAGCCACTCGTTTATTAAGCACTCGTACCACTCATGGCAAATAGTGATTCAAATGCCGTTTACCACGCTTGTTGCATAACATGCTATTATACAGTTCTTCAGACGTTAAACATGACCATTTCTCTCTTTTTGGGGTTATGATTTTTCTTGCACACATACGAGTTGTTATATGCAGTAAATATTTTTCTCAAAAAAATTGCATCTATCAAAAATCACCCGTTAATTACACATTCTGCCCATCGTATCTACCCGGCCTTAGAAATTTCCAAAATCACCATTGTCGTAAATTAAAATCCTAAAAACTTGTGTGTGTTTTTTTGCAGGTCTCCGCTACTGACCCGGATTGTGGGGTCAACGCAGTGGTGAGCTACACCCTGGGTGATGGTTTCGCCAAACTAAAGGAATTCAAAGTGCGCTCCGCCTCTGGCGAGATATGCATCGGTGCGCCTCTGGACTATGAAACTCGAAACATGTACGAATTTCCGGTGATCGCCACCGACAGAGGTGAGTACCGCGTTTTCGCTTTCATTTAATTAGGTATTGCAAATATCCGAGTACGATCCTGCGTACTGCGCGCCGGGACGTTGTGATTTTCGTGTGGTTTGACTTATACACTAATAAAAAGCCTTTTTAAAATCGAACATATAACAAACCTCGAGGGAATTTTAAATGAATTTTAATCAAACATTAATAACACTGAGAAGAGATTTAACGAAACTGGGAATGTGTCTTTTCATTTCAATCACACCAGGACATCACATGATACACAGAGTATGTAAATATTAGCTATCATTTTTTATTTTACAATTTTTTTTACGCAATTTCAACCGAATTATACGTATTTTCCGTTCTGGCTGGTTATCTAACCATAAAGCGCACAGCAGTTATGGCTGTCAGTTTTAAAGGAATTCTTCGATGATCAAACGAACTTACCTGGTAAGTGAAGTTCCATCGTAATTATATGTTACACCTCTTCGTAGAAATCAATATACGTAGTCCCCCTTCTAGTCGCCAGGTGGCACCACAGCTTTAAAGCAGAGCCAAAAAACTGTGGAATAACTTACCACGGACGGTATATTCGCCATCGATGGTCTTAACCTCATTCTATTTTAAAGCCCGTTTATAATACATTTGCCAAAGGGCATTTTAGTACTGTTCAGAACAGTAAATTGGGCGGGAATGGGTGATTTCTACGAAGAGGTGTAACATATAATTACGATCGAACTTCACTTACCAGGTAAGTTCGTTTGATCATCGAATTATGTGTTACACCTCTTCTATGAAATCAATATACGTAGACTTTCAAAGGCAACTCAGCAAATTTGTTATAAAACGATTTTATTCGGCTATATAAGGAAATCCAAACCTTATGAAGTTTATGAAAGCCTCGAGTACAAATACAAAATAAATGGCTGTCCGAGAAAACAAACCTTCTGAAAAATTCTATTTCCCAAATGGGGCATTAACAAAAAAGCCTGCACCTGCTGTACAAATAGGTCTATTATAAAAAAGGGCAAAACATTTAGAGCATTCTCACCAATCTGCCGTTTTTCCAATCATATCAATTGAAACACCTTTACAAAACGCAGACGATGTCGAGGCATGTCGAGTTCTGTGAGTAGTAAAAATAGAAGTGTAGACACCACTATCTTCTAAGGTTATCTTTATTCATCTGCTTTTGTTGGGTACAGTTGCTGCCCTACAAGGCTTTTTAAATGTAATGAGTAAACGAGATTCACTGCCTCTTAAAGCACTGGTCCTCTCAATATAAGACAGAATATTTGAAACCACACAAAGATTTACATCTTCATATTTATGCAAAATTAAAAAACAGGTTGAGTCTTATTTATAGCTGAAATCTTAATTTGATTCGTTATTCTAATTTCTAATCCATCTGGAAATGATTTTATGTTGACCAATTCTATAAGAGAGAGCGTTTGGACTCTATGTACAATCGTTAACTTCAGTAGGAAAACTAATTTAATTGTTTTAATGACAAGTCATTAGAACGTAACCCTTTTACAAAGTCAGGGACATAACTAGGGCCCCAAGTGCTGTTATATCTTGGTTTACTTGGTCTTAGATTATAAACACCTTAAAAAACCTAGTTAGATATGCATTGTTAAATAATTCTGATCCAAAAATAATGCTGTGCTGCACTGAAAGAACTCAATAAGCCATAGGACTTGCCTTGTCTAAAATGAATGGTAAGGAAATCTAATACAGCCTAGGTGAGAAGTAATAACACTCCACTCCCCTCCTTTCGTAGAAGCTCCACCAAAGTTTAAATGCATGCAGGTATTAAATGCCTCAAGGTCGCGCTCTGAACAGATGATAGAAAAATATCCAGCAAATCCTCTGGAATGCTTGCCTGACAAAATCCCTGCAGCCAGGGTAAGGGATTTCCACAAAGGGTGACCTCTCCTGTCAAAAGAAGAAGGTAATTTGTCTGGAATTAGAAACAATAAATAACTACAACGCCTCCCATCAAAAATAGGAAACCAATGCTGGCTGTGCCCGTAAGGGATTACTGCGATCCATGTAGCTCAATCAGCCTTGATTTTTCGTAAAACAAGTGGCAACAAGCAAAACGGGGGGGAAAACATAGAAGAAACTGTCGCTCCAAAAAACAGTAAACGCGTCTTCATTAGATGCCTCCGGATCTGGAAACTAGGAAACAAACTTTCTGCATTTCTTACTTAGGCGAGAAGCAAACAGTTCGATTTATGGGAATCCCAATTTGCTTATTATTTTAGCAAAAGCATTGTCCGAAAGGTACCATTCACCATCAAAATTCAAATTCGTGGGTTCCCTATCCGCTTCAAAATTATCGGAAGATCAAACGTAAGATGCTTTAACCCATAACCTCCTTTCTTCACACCAACCCAAAGGCGCCTCGAAATTTCGTTTAAAACAGGAAATTTTACTCCCCCTATTCTATTTACATACAAAATAGCAGTTGTGTTATCAATCCTCAAAAGTGTCTCGCAGTTAGTCAAATACGAGGCGAAGCATTAGAGACCAAATGAGGCCGCAGTTAATTCTAGTGCATTAATATGAAACTGAGCTTCCCTAGGACTCCAAAGTCCTCTGGTACAATTCCCTTGGCATACAATTCCCCAACCCAAAGGAGTACCATCTGAGAAAATCTCAAGTTTGTAACATTGCTGCCTTACAGGGCATTCAGGATTCTGTAAACTTTTTAGCCACCACATAAAATCCCTCCGTAAATCACAAGGAATTATCATCCAAGTATCATAATTATCGACAGAGTCTTGAAGGGCTAGATATTTGATTCTCTCAAAAATTCTTAGTATATACCCAACTGTAACAAACTGCTGGGCAAACTGAATACTAGCACAGCACAAAGCTCGGCAAAGACTCTTATTTTGCAACGGTTCAAATTGCAAAACTTATTTACTCATCAGAAAAACAAGTGGTGGGATTCAAAAAAACAAAACCTAAAAATTTACGGGATTTCGAAGGATGTAAAACATTCTTCATAATTAATAACAAAACCCAACCTAATCAGTGTGTTGCAAGTTACTTGAACATTTTTTAAGGATAGCTAACTATCACCAAATAGTAAAGTTATCTAAATAAACTATCGAGGGAAAAGCCTTGGCAGGGAGATAAGAAACCACAGATTTCATTAATTCTGTAAAGACCCACGAGGCGGTGCATAAACCAAAGGGTAACACGTTAAAGTGATAACAACGTTTCGATGAGAAGTAAGTACTACTCATCTTTAACCGGTTTCAAAAGCAAGGTCAAGAGCGCCCTACCAACCACCATCAAAGCAGCCCTTGTTGCAGTCAGTCTCTCATCCCTTTTCTTTCCACCTTTGTTGATGGCAGATTTCATCTGCACATTCAATTTAGTTCAATTCAATTTATTGAGCAGGCAATTCTTCGGCACAGGATATCAACGCAAAAGGTCACTGAGACAATCTTCGGACACACCGGATTTCAAAAAGGTATTAATCTGCCTTGCCAAAATGTCATGACATATCAAACTTTGTGTTGGGACTATCGACCCCATAGCTTAAAGGCCATTTTGCTTTAAATCCGTCTCATAGGGGCTCAACAATGACATCAGAATTAATTGAAGGGCCTAAAAAATATACTTACGTTGGAGTAAGTGCATTCCAACAGCCATAAAAAATTGTTCATTATGTCCCAGTATCCCAGGCGCCTCATCCATAGCCGGACGAGCCAGAAAACTCTATTTTTTCGATGTCGAAAAAATATAAAACCATATGTATGGCCGACCCCCTCACAAAAGGATTGCTTCCAATTGTGAAACACTTACATGCGACTGCTGGCGTATAAGTGGGAAAGATGGGGGGTCTTTCGAGTTCTGGAGATTCCGATCGGAACCCGGACGATGAAGAAATCGTCTCCCAATTGTGAGAAAATCTCGTTGATGGGAACCACGCCACTAGCGATTATGTAATCGCGGATGGAAAGATTTTATCTTTCGTCGTAGGTAGGTTCTTTCTTCATCCGATAAGGAATAACGTAAATCTCACTTGTACTTCTCCATTTAACTTCCAAAAACGCCGAAAAAGCTGAAAACACCGACGCCGAATAAAAATGAACATGTGCCACCAAAGCACAAAAAGAGGAATGAAGTTAAGACCATAGATGGCGAATATACCGTCCATGGTAAGTATTCCACAGTTTTTTGTCTCTGCTTTAAAGCTGTGGTGCCACCTGGCGACTAGAAGGGGGACTACGTATATTGATTTCCACGAAGAGGTGTACCATATAATGAATAATTATGAATAGTATAAAATGCGCCTCAGCTTTTGCGATATTTATTTTTTGCATGATCCACGGCGAATCAGTGGCGCGCCTGAGAGTTTTTGTTTCTTACTTCGAGTGCCACTGTTCTGGTGGGCAAAATACTGCGGTAATGCGTTTAGGAGTCACAATGCGCGAAAAATCATTCGGTTGCGCTTCTACAGTTGGCAACGTGTTTTTTTTTTCGACTTGAAAATAAATAGAAAAAAAATTATTGGCCAAAAATACAACATATTTCATGATTTTAAGAAAAATCGGTGCGAAAGATAAGGTGACAGCAAAGAAAAAATGTACTGTGTTACATAGATATTGCAACGACCAGTAAATGAAATACAAGTATGATTTCAATAAATCAGAACAAAATGATTGAAAGAAAATATTAAAATTTCAATATTGAGTTGCGGTATGTAGTCTAGCATTGTCTTTCTGAAAAATTGGATATTACACTTGATTGAGCAACGGGACGCATCCAATTTAGGATTAAGCATTCATATTTCTATCCAAAAAAACTAGAGTTAGCTTGCCTCCGACTCTTATGACACCCTAAACGACAACCCCCTAGTAGTACAGTTTCATGTTCTAACGGGTGATTCAATAAGAGTTTCCACATTACAATCTGAAATACTTTTGAAACGCCATTGTATTTATTTATTATCATATGAGATTTCTAACCTCAAAACATAAACAAAATTAGTCATGAAGCAATATACGACTGAACAACGTGTAAAAATTGTGCATTATGAAAATGGTCGATCAAGAAAAAACGCATTTCGAGCTCTACGTGAATTTTTCGGCGCTCAAAATCGACCTTCTGAGAGGACAATTTGGAATGTGGTTCAAAAATTTAAGCAAATTGGATCTGTAACTAACCTCAAAGTCCCTCAACGTGCTCGTGCAGGTCGGTCAGATCAAAATATTGCCATTGTTCGCGAAAGTGTAGCCGAAGATCCAAACACATCGATTCGTCATCGATCGCAGCAAGTACGTACGTATGCAACCACACAGCTAATTTTAACAAAAGACTTGCATCTACACCCATTTAAAGTCCAAATAACTCAGGACTTGAAACCTCGCCGCGTATTTGCAGAATGGATACGAGAACAAGGGGTTCATTTTCCAACGAAAATCATTTTTAGCGATGAGGCACATTTTCACGTTGGTGGCTTTGTAAACAAACACAATGCTCGTATTTGGAGATTAGAAAATCCAAGAGAGATTGTTCAAAAAGCAATGCATCCTCAAACTGTTGACTGTTTGGTGCGAATTTGGGTGCGGAGGAATAATTGGCCCTTTTTTTTCGAGGATAATGCGGAGAACGATGTTACGGTTAATGGTGTTCGCTATCGAAACATGATATCTGTTTTTTCTGAGAGCAGTTGGAAGGTATGGACATTGAAGATTTGTGGTTCCAACAGGATGGAGCCACTTGTCACACATCCAGAGAAACGATGCAATTGCTGCGGGGCAAGTTTCCTGGTGGGATTATCTCACGTAACGGCGATATCAATTGACCTCCGCGATCATGTGATCTTACTCCCCTAGATTTTTTTTTTGGTTTCTAAAAAGCAGAGAGTGTAGAAATAAACCAAACACTATTCCAGAGCTAAAACAGGAGATTAGACGCGAAATAGGCGGCATAGAACCTGAATTGTGTCAAAAAGTGATTGATTTCAATAAGCCCGTTCTTAACACCATGTCAACCGTAACTCTCTTTCTCTGTTCTAATCTAATATATGGTTTCTATTCTAATATAAGGTTTAATTCTTCTATAAAGCGATCGCAGCTACCCTCCACTCATGTCCGATTTCGCTGGTTTTTCAGTCTCTAAAGTGTCTTTGTGATCATTATCACTGTATTGTCTTAAAGTTTTCTTAAAGCCCCAGTGACACGTACTCTGCTCAATATCGCAGCACTGTTATATGATTCTGACCAATCTACTTTCCAATTTCTCAAAAGGATATCCCAGCCTCTTGTATCCTATTCTACCTTTTTCAGATTTAGTTAAGTAACAATACAGGCCACGTCTTCTTGCGTGAAACATTGCTAAGTGATGTTTTCAATATAATATTCTTCATATACAGACTGGGACAAAAATGTGATCATGGCAGGCAATCAACTCACGAAACATAACTAGTTTTGCGTATACTGAGTTTTTCATTTTTCTGGTACTCATTTTAGTGTAAAAAGTTGGCGTTATTTTCAAGGAGATCTAATTTTGGCGATTCCAGGCGGTTTGAGCACGACGGCGATGGTGAAAATTCAAGTGGCAGACGTCAACGACAACAGGCCCGTGTTTTATCCTTCCGAGTACAACGTTTCGTTGAGGGACGGCGGCGCGTCATCATCCGCCACGACGCCGGTAGTCGTAGTGTCCGCGACAGACCCGGACTCGGGAAAATTCGGCGCCGTCACCTACCGAATAGTCGCCGGCAACGAGGCCGGTCTGTTCCGCATAGATCGCGCCACCGGCGAAATATTTGTCAACAGGCCGCACCAACTTTCCACCAGGAATCAGCCGTACCATCGGCTCAAAGTCAGCGCCACCGACGGCGCCAACTTGAAGTCGCTCAAGGACGCGGAAGTTTTTATCAGCGTTATCGATTCGGCGCAGAAGCCGCCCATCTTCGAGCAGCCGCGGTACACGTTTCACGCCGCAGAAGACGTCAAACGAGACTACGTCGTGGGCCACGTGAGGGCCAACGTCGTCGACGACGGTAAGCATTTTTATATTCTTCCGTCTAACCCCAACAGGCCACACCAGATATTAGGTGTTAGAGCTCGTGCGCGCGTATCCGACGTTCATTTTTTTATGACTGAAAATGTGTGCAAGCGAATACGATCAAACTTGGTGGCAAACGAATGTTGTTAAAAAGTTTTCGAAAAAATACAATAATTTTGAAACGGGTAAAGGTATTAAATTCAAAATTAGTTTACCTGGGTTTTCACAGGTGAGAAAATGGTAGGATCCCGCATTAGTTTGGACCTTCAACCGACTTAGAATGCACTTAAGGGTGAATTATTTCGTTTATTCCCTTACCCTTTAAAGCTAATGCCGAGACTTTATACAAACTTCAGATAATTTATTCTTTATACTCTACACTCGGAGAAAAAACGTTGTAAAATTAAAAAAAAACGGTAACGATTTTATCGAAATTTAATACGATTTTTTTTTAACAAATCAATAAGGCGCTATATGATTCTATAACATATTCTTGAAATTGATGCACGATACTTTTTATTACTTATTCTTATTAAAACAAATGTATTTTCTACATTTGAATTTAACCCTCTTGTTAGGGCAGGAAGTCCTAGTTTTTAGTTTCAGGCACATGCAATATTAATGTAACAGGTTTCCTTATTTACAACGCAGTACTATCCATCGGTTTTATAATAAATTTCCCATAAAGTATACTTTTTACAAAACTTCTGGACTCCTCCTGTGTCCGTTTTTGCTGAGTCGAACTTACTGACGTTTCAGAGCTTGACTGAAACTCGCTGTACCTGTTTATATATTGTTTGAGGGGGGCGGAGCTAAATGAGGGGCATAAACACCGTCTCGGATAACTGATTCCCATATTGGTGACAGGTAGAGGACCTGAGTCGCGGATAAGATTGTTAGGTTGTTTATAGATTTCTATAAACTCTCGGATTTTTCGTTGGTAGAAGAATTGATAGAGTAAAACGCTAGCCAGTTTCAATCAAACTCTGAAGAAACCAACAGTATGATTGGCGAAACGTCAGCAAGTTCGACTCAACAAAAACCGACGCAGGAGGAATCCACAAGTTTTGTAGAAAGTACTGGTTATACAACGGTACAAAAAACAGAAGATTATATCAAGAAAAGGAAAACGTCAATTTAGTGGAATTACACGCGGAGAAAGGTGTGTTAATACCACCATGGTCCGTTGCTGTAATGCAGCAGGACTGTATGTTCCACCAATGCTTATATTTAAAAAGAAGCGATCTGACAAGCAACTTAAACGAGGTGCTCTGTTAGGTAGCCTTACTGAAATTTCTGACATTGGTTACACTACAACTGAATTCTTTATTAAGTGGCTTAAACATTTCCACCGTATTGTTCAATCAAGTTAAACAAAACCAGTACTCTTGGTACTAGATGGTCATCCAACCCATAGCAAAAATCTGAAAGCTCTAGAGTTTTCCCGGGAAAAAACACATTCACATTCTTCAGTTGCCTGGACACACAACCCATCATCTGCAGCCTCTTTTAGGATATTTTAAACCTTTGAAAAATTCTCATAAAATATATTGCTTTCATTGGAATTAAATTCGCCCCGACTTTAAATAAATTAATAATATCAGTAGGGGAACAGAAAGCAAAATGGTATCCTTAAAATCACATGGTATGTTTCCTTTCAGTATCATATTAAACATAAATGAAAATAAACAAGTACGGTTTATTAAAATCAATACATCATCGAAAATCATTTGGTCCATTTTGCCTTCATAGGGAGGTACAATAGAAAACATTTAATCATCGCATGTTTCGCAAGAAAATACCGCTTCTTCGTCTTGATCTTCAGCGCCAGCGCAGGAACAGTAAGACCAACATTTGCATGTGAGACTGGATCCAGCCTTCCGTTGACGTTGAATTCAAATAGTAACAACACACACACTCTGTGCTTCTTTTTTACTAGTAGAGGACTCTCTTTTCTCGGAAAACTTCTTAGCCTTCTTGCATGTGAGACTGGATCCAGCCTTCCGTTGACGTTGAATTCAAATAGTAACAACACACACACTCTGTGCTTCTTTTTTACTAGTAGAGGACTCTTTTTTCTCGGAAAACTTCTTAGCCTTCTTTTTCCTGCCCGCCAAATAATATAATACAAATAAGGGTGGCATGTATGCAAAATGCAGTAGTTATTAATTGACCCCTATCTGCTGATGTTAATACACCAACTTGCTTTTTAACTTTTGTGCTGATTATTTTCGGCAATGTCTTCGGTACCGTAGCCATGCCCGTCTCGTCTACGTTATATATTCTATTTAGTGTTAGTTTGTACTTATCAATAGCTTCAACTAAAAGTGAAAAACTGTTAACTGCTTAAACCGCTTAAATACCGTATCAAATGTCCCCATTTTCTTCGCTGTTGCTGTTACTGTATAAATATATTGCTTGGTTCATTGATTCTTTCTACCATTGTTGCCTCTCAATCTTTCTTTTATAGTTACTAACTATCTGAAAATATGAAAAGGCTTGTTTAATTGATATTGTTTAGGCAAAATGGTCCAAGTGGTCCATTTTGCCCGGTCCGTTTCGCCTCTTTGTTATATATACTAGCAAACGTGCCGATCTGGAAATTATGTCAACATAGAACGTCAAAGAAATATAATATAGTTTGAAGCTAATATTTTGCTATAATAGTATCTACGCATCTTATTACAGAGGTAAAGAGTATAAGGATTTAAATATTGTTTTATTTTTATACTTGCCTTGCCTTGTTAAAATTTCGTAGGCCACTTTTGCCGGTTTATGGCTAACTGTCCGAAGCCTATTTCATGCAGCAATAAAATTTGATGTTGAACTAAGGAGGCTTTTACTTGATGAAAATCCATTTATCAAAATAAATAAGAACTAAAAGTTCAGATTTTCACGAAATTATATATTTTTACATGACAATTGTTTTGACGACACCGTGTTTTTATCAAATGTCATTTGATAAAGGCACGGTGTTGTCGAAACAATTGTCATGTCATAATATATAATTTCGTGAAAATCTGAACTTTTAGTTCTTATTTATTTTGATAAATTTGATGTTAACAACTTTGTAGAGATGATGCAAATAGTATTTAAAGAATTTTAACGGACCGTTTAACCTGCATGGTCCGTTATGCCTCCCTTTCCCCTATATGTTTACGATTTAGTGAAAGATTCACACATTATAAAAGAAAATAAAACCGAAATTTTCGCCCAACTTAACACAAAAAGCACAAATTATTTAAAATCATACCTAATTGCTTTTGGTAAAAAATGATATAAAATTATTAAAAATATTTAGGTATGATTTTTCGCCCGCTCTTGGTTGCACTATCCTGTAATGCTTATTTTTATACCGTCCATATATAATATATGACGGGCATATTAAAAGATTGCACATAACCCAGTGCTTAAAACAAACGAATAATCTAATCACTTGATTGATTATTAAAGGGAATCCAACGATCCGCGGCCCGCTAGGGAAACTAGGGAAAATCGTCAACCGCTCATCGGCTATCGGAGCTACACTCGACTCGACTTATCCCGGGTTTCGATAATTCAAGACTGTCTTCCCCCGGGCCGTGTTCCGTTCGTTCACTTCGGAAAGATACTTAAGTGGGTTCCCATGGGTCTATAATCGATAGATCGACAAATAATACGAATCAAAAATAAATAATCCAAACACCCAAAACGAAATATGGGAAAATATCGACCACTTAAAGCTAAGGGCGCCGACATGGCCATACTGACTAGTGCACGTCCTCGGGCAACTGGTGGTCATCTAGACCTCGAAGGCTTTACCTTCACTCGTCCATTCTGACTAACCAAGAAAAATAAAAAAAAACGCGATGCAAATCTCAGTTATTGTTATTATTAACATTAACCAATATAAAAAACTTTTACTAGGAAAGCAAAATCATCTTACTTGCAACTTGCAGTATAATCTAATTTGGCAAAGCTATGAAAGCATCAGCTATCAAGAACATTGCAATTCGGTTCCACCACCATCATCCTGTAAAACACTCTTTACGGGAATATGGATCTACTTTTGACGCCCCTTCACAATGCTTGTCGGGCAACACACGCCTCTCCAACCAAGCAAAGCTTATCGAAACAATCACCTCGGGCAACACATGCCTCTCCAACAATGCAATGCTTATCGGGATCAACACCTACGGCGACACACGATTTTTCAATAAAGCAATGCACTCCGGCGACATACGCCTCATCTTGTCACACTGTTTACCTTCATGTAAACCAACCAGCCAACAACACATCTCCCGAAAGACTCCTTTTACTGGATAAACCAAACTAGACAACACTATGCCTCTAGCTTTGGCGACACACGCCCGTGCAATAACGCAATGCTTATCAGGATAACCACCTTCGGCGACACACGCTTCTCCAATCAAGCAATGCTTATCGCAACAATCACTTTCGGCAACACATGCCTCTCCAACAATGCAATGCCTATCGGGATCAATACCTACGGCGACACACGCCTCTCCAATAAAGCAATGCACACCGGCGACACACGCCACATTTGGTCTCACCGTTTACCTTCATGTAAACCAACCAGGCAACAGCACATCTCCAGTACTGGGTAATCAAAACTAGGCAAACACATGCCTCCACCACATAGACCCTGTTAAGTAAAACAACAAAAATCTATGCCATCAATCCTTGCTTGGCCTCCGCCAAACAAACCACTGCTGCAACGCTCCAGATAACTAATAAAAAAATAAATAAATAAGCCGAAATTATTTTTACCTAATTTTGCCAGGACGGAGTCAATTTCGTCTATCGAAAGATTCTTTTAAGAATTCGCCGACACAGGCTCATTCTGTTACTCATTTTTCAGATTCTTATTCCGCTTTACCTCATCAGGCACACGAATAAGCTGATCATAAGCAATTTCGAAAAACTTACTTTTGCACTTACTACTGTGTCCAATAACTTGACAACAGCCATTTTTTAAAACTGCGGTAATTATAA